TCAGCCTAAGAAAAATAACCAAGGTAGGCGAAAAGTTGTTTAATGGTTTTTATACCAATGTGGCCGGTCGGTGGCGCCATCTGTTATAAGCGGAACTACTGGGCTGCACTAAATGTTTGTTACATTAGTAGATTTTTGTTAATTTACTAATACTTCCTTTACCTATTCCAACTAAGCTTTAGGCTTGTGTTAGCTTATGGTTTACAATAGTCGAAAACTCGACCACAAGATTGGTAGTCTAGAATTACGATATTAGCGCTTCAATCTGTTCTAAATATTTGAAATTTTAATTAACGTGCCTCCTAAATACTTTTAATACTGAATTGCGTTTTATTTGTTCGAAGCCTGTTCGATCCGCCCAAAAGTTGGTATGGTACTATACCGCAAAAAAAGACAGTCAAACGGTGGCACAACCTTTAATGTGTTACGTGAACAATGAAAAAGGTCTGTTGAACGCACTCTTGTTTGCCAATGCACATTGTTAGGCAACTTTCAAAGTAAATCGCTCACTGTTTACTCTTATATCTTCCGCAAGCTTTTATTGAAAGATAGGAGTACGTCTATTGCAATATTTTACATGCATTATTTTGTTAATAATAATTATGGTTATTTTGTTTGTTTTGTGATCAGCATATGTTGCTCTGAAGGGTTCGGAGTTAGCCCTAGGCATAGTTAACGATGCTAACCCAGTGCGGATTGGCTATTGTCTCATTCTCTCTTCCTAGGTTATATCCCACATGGTACTAGGGTCAGCTTTCTTTGTTTTCTCCACTTTAAAATTATATTTAAATATTTTTATTCTAAAAATATACGATTTTAAATACTACTGGTTTTTCCGGTAATATGGGGTTAGCTATATCTGTTTATTAACAAGGATTGCAGGGGTAATTTTTCACGGTTAATACAACCGTGCAATGTGGAGTTGTTCTATAGATTTTTAGGAATTTAAACTTCTAATGACGTGAAGAGCGTTAAAAAAATAATTCCGTTTAGACTAATCCAAGAATGTAATAAGAGAAAATTTCGTCATTGTCACAAAATAACGGTTTTTTTAAACTGTTTTTCTAATTTACATGATTCGTTTCACAGTTCTGTATATTATCAGTTACAGCTTAACAATAGAGCAGTGTTATTGTATTGTAAAGCATTCGCAACAACGCAACTAACAGCTTTTCAACATGCAAATGAAATAATACTTAACACCTTTTATGTTACTACGTAACACGTTTGTATTTACATTTTTTGTATGTTTTGTACATGTAGATTTGGACATCATTACGAGTAAATTTGGTTCACAGGTTGTTTATAAATCTGTCTAAAACATTTATGTTTTTAATTAAAATGTCAGAAAACGATATTTTTTTATTGTCAAACTAGCTGTTGCCCGCGACTTCGTCCGCATGAAATTATGAAAAAATTATTTTATTGTTTACATTTGTCAAATTATCAATTACAAATGACATGTCGTGACAAACTTTGACAATCTTTCTTGATGTTGGCAGCAACTTATGGTCTCTTTCCCACATTAGGGTTTTTATCCAAAATATTTACCCCCTAAGTTTAATGGCGTGAAAATATATAGCCTAAAGCGTGACGTAAGTGTACGGCTTTGTATTACAAAAAGAATTACCCAATATGCTGTAATTGCTGACATCTTAGGCAACAAAGAAGTGTGTGTTTACACTTTATTATAATAGTATAGATTTTACGTGTTTGTCAATTTGACAATGTGCCGTGCGGTATAATGGCTTTACATTAATTTAAATAACAATTAACTACATTAGAAGTAACACCAAAATGTTATGTTATGGATGTTTATGGGCAGCGGTAGCTTCAATTTCGGTGGATTCAGGTGGCCGCTTGCTCGTTTGTCACCTTATATTATAAAAAGAATAATAATCGATTATTATTCTAAAATGTGCAAATGAGAAATTAAATTAGTTCTTCCTTCCGCATGTTAATGTTATCGCGAATGTTAATTTGTATTTCATAATTATAATTTATGGTGAATTATCTAAATTACAAATGCTTACGAACCGTGAATATAATTTATTACCGTCTAATGTATGTAAGTTTTAAGCGAGTGACACAGAAATATTTCCGATTGTAATACAAATTTGAAAACAACCTTTCACCTTTGATATAGTGATTTAAAAAAATTAAACACGCTTTTTTGTAATAATGAACTTAAAAAAATGTCAAAACAACTTTATTTTAAACTATTTATAATATTATCCTGTAAAACTAATTCATTTACATCTTGCCTGTTATACGCTTTTTTTTCTTCTTCTATTTTTAATCTATCTTTTAATAACAAACTACGCAAAAGTGGCCAGTGGCCAGTACCTCTTTGGCTGTATTCATACTTCTTGTCAGCCAAAGAGGTTGTAGTTTACACTGACCATATTCTATGTTTACAATTATTACTTTGTCTACAGTAGTCTTGTAGTATTTCGACAACGGTTTTCGTCGTAATAAATCTTTAAATTCAGTCATGGCCATTGTATAATGTATATTTCGTTGAGAAATGTATAACCTAATCTCGATGTAGTAACGCGAGAACGAGATTTTATAAAATTCGTCATTTTGTAATACACAAATTAGCCCGCTGACGTGTTAAGCAACACGTTAACACGCTAACGTGTTTACTGTTTACCAACACGTGATACCTCTGTTTGATGCGTATCGCAGTTATGTTAAAATTCGACAGAAATCATGTTGTCTCAGTTTTGTTTATGAGAATGAAAGAGATGAATGCACAACATAATTTGTAACTCTTGAATACCTGAAGTTTCTTTGATATCGGGGTTATAAATCGCTTGGGCATCTACAATCGATTTTATTTTAATACTAGCTTCCGTCCGCGACTCCGTCCGCATGGAATAAAAACAACAAAAGTGGGTAGCCTATGTGTTTTTCCAGACTATCCTCTACATCTATACCAAATTTTATCGAAATCCGTTCATCAGCTTAGGCTACAAACATCCATTACGCATTAGTATGATTAGGCTGTTTATGTTACCCTTGACTGATAAATTTTAAGTTAGAAAACTAAAAGAAGCATATCACGAATAGATAAAAAAATATCGTTTTTTTTTTACTCTCCCAATTAGTAAAAAAACACAGTATAGAGTACATTTATAGATTTTTAATTTGATTTAAAATCAGGCTTTCAAGGGTTGATGAATTTGATTTAATGACGCAAGGCATATCTGCATTGTTGCGGGTAACCGTTTTCATTTGTTTTTCAATTTGTTTTGTAGAACAAATTATAATCATTAATATATTTAATTGAACACTTTGTACTATTAGCGTATCGATTTAAGTTTTTCTACAGACTTTGTTTTGTTACATTTATTGGTAACGACCGGATGTTACTGACACAGTTCAATTGAGGTCCTCATTTAAACTCATTAGAATAGATTTAAATGTTTTATGTTATGTAATAATAATTCTTAAGTGAATGGGATAAATATTGCATCATAGGATGAATTGCAGTTAGTAAACAATGAATAACGAGATAAACATATTGAAAGATGAAAGTGACAGCTTTTGGGAACGAAATAACTGAAATAAATCTGTACTTCTTACTATCTTACTAATATTATAAATGCGAAAGTTTAGATGGATGTTTTTTAGAGTTTGTAGCCTAAACGGCTGAATAGATCTCGATGTAATTCGACACAGACGTAGAGGATAGCCTGGAAAAACACAGGCTACTCACTTTTGTTTTTTAATTCGATGCGGACGGAGTCGCAGGCGAAAGTTAGTCCTAATATAATAAAACGTAAACACAATAATTGACGTAGGATGTCAGCAATCATAGTATATTTTTGAATATTTCTTTAGTAAAAAGCCCTATACTTACGACACACTTTAGGCTATATATTTTAACGTTATTAAACTAAAGGTGTAAATAAAATGGAAAAAACCTTCACGTGGGAAAGGGACAATAAACTACAAACTAACATCAAGGAAGCAAGGTTGCCATGGTAACGTAGTTTTTATCCAAAGTCAATAGCGTTCGTTGTACTTCTTATAAGTTTGGAAGGAGCCGCACGGGAACAGCTTGTATATTATAAACAGGAACGATTTGTATTTTTGTTATTAACGAATAAACAATGTATTGATTTTGTTTCATTATTTTTATCAGAATTTAAATTGCATTTGATCAAGTATCAATAGGCTATTAGTAGCTATGTAATTAGTAATTTCGTTACATTATGTAAGGCTAGCGGCACTAACCACCGGCAGACCTCATTATAGAGACCTTGACATGATATCACGTTTTTTATGAAAGCACGGCGCCTAATTTTAAGTGCTATTGCCAATGAACTGAACTATCAAGTTTATTAGAATAATTGGTTGTTTTATTTCACATCACCTAAGTGTTACAGTTGTGAAAGAGGTCAGCAGAAAGCAGTCCATTGATGGCCTTATCCCTTCAACACGTACAAGAGCTGGCCACCTTTCGTCACATATTTTTTTTCTGTACTGTTTATTTTTTTTTGGTAGTGTTTTTTATTCTATTACATTTAACTAGCTTTCGCCCGCGACTCCGTCCGCGTGGAATTAAAAAAAAGAAAAGTGAGCAGCCTATGTGTTCTTCAAGACTATTCGCTACATAAATACCAATTTATCGAAATCTGTTCAGCGGTTTAGGCTACAAACTCTAACTTGCATCAATCCATCTAAACTTTCGCATTTATAATATTAGTATAATTCCTATTGTTTGTTTTTTTTTTTTAATTTTGTGTACACAATGGTAATTTTAAAGTATTTTGTCTCTTTTTAAAACCCACTAAAGTAACTTTTTTCAGTGTATTAACTATTTAAAAATAATTTTGAAATGTTTAATGCATTCGAGATTCGTTACCTACTTACCATCAATGTCTATTGTTAACAAACAATAGAGTTTATTGCCTATTTGAATTTTTATTTACAAATAGTATATTTGCGTTTAAAATTGTTACATTACGTATCTAGACAAGGAAACTTACTTTCATGGCTGTGGTCTTACACAACGCACTGCACCAAAACACTCGACGAGTTCTGTTTTTATTATTGAATTACTATTCATTCGATTTTAATGCGTTTATAATCACTGACACAACACTTTCAAAACTGTCGATGTTTTTAAGTTCGTATACGATTTTGAATCGATTTTCTTCTCTCACCTTTTCACTTAATGTTGATGACAAATCGATTTTTACTTTACTATTTTACTCTTAATAAAAATGGCTGTCAATTGACAGTCTTTTGTTGCCTGAAAATACAAAAATTTAAGAATCAAACTTAATCTAGGGATGTCCAAAATTTATGCTCTTATTATTTATTTAATAATAATGATTGTTTTTTAAGGTTTTGACTACTTTAAGATACGTGTTATTTATAACACAGTCTGTTATAAAGACATAACGATTAGCTAGCTGCAGTATTATCTAATGCGCTACATCATAGCTGTTATCGACCCGGACTAAAAGACGTAACTCATTATTGAAAAAGTTAAATTTTAACAACTTGTCTAAATATAAACATGCATGTTGCTGTAAAAGTAAAAACATGCTACGGTTTTAAAAATATTCCCTATTGATTGTGTTTAATTAAACACACTTAAAATACTGTCAAAAAACACGATAATTAAAAAAAAAATATCACAAAAATTTTTGAATTTCGAACATTGAATGATTTTATAAAATTAATAAGAAATTCAAATGTAACGGACGTTATATTCGTGTGCGGCTCGGAAGGTTCGCGGCAACGCGATACGACTCCGCGGTTTCGACTGACGCCGGCCGGCCGTGGTGCAACCCTCCCCACGCTAAGTTACGGCCACGGCCTTATGTGGGTCGGCTTTTTCGGACAGGGTTAGGCGATAGCGTGCCGTGTGCTCTACCGATTGCGTATGATGCGGCAATAGTTAGGGTTGTCGATATTTTGATTAGTTTTGGAATTCAAGGAAGTGTAATAGGATTGTCGAAGATTATCTTTTTCTTATAAGTTTTTTATACTCTTGGACAAGTTGTGCGTGACTCAGGATAACAAGTTTAAAACGAGATAAGGGTCTTCAAATTAGTTTTTTTCGTGTAAATGTTGAAGGGTTAAGTAACATGGACTCTTTAAATTATTTTTAACACAAATAATAATAGTTCATTCTAATAATTAGAGACGTCCTTTTGATAAAGGCTTATTTATAAAGCGAGGATAATACCAATGGCAGATTTCGCGCGATTTTACCAAATTTTTTTCATCTATGATGTTTATTTATAAGTGAAACTACATCGAGTAATGGTGGGTTATTATTTGAATTACCATATAAATGCCAATGTAAATTCATCAAATTTCGTAAACTCGGAACACGTAATAATTGCGACATACATACATATTGATGCACGTGGCTTCGATCGTCCTAAATCCTATGGTTGTGAAATAGCCCGCGTATTGAGTGATACATGCTTCCTGACACGTACGTATGATTTCTATGATTGGAAACGGACACAATATGTCTATGATTAAGAAACTATGTTGAACTAGCTTTGACCTGCGACTCCGTTCGTGTGGAATTAAAAAAAAAACAAATGTGTGTAGCCTGAGTGTTCTTCCAGACTATCCTCTACATCTATGCCAAATTTCATCGAGATCGATTCAGCCGTTTAGTCTACAAACTTTAACAAACATCCATCCATCTAAACTTTCGCATTTATAATATTAGTGAGATTAGTAAGATTTAAAACTATCCAGTGTTTTTGAGATAGTTTAGTAGGATGGTGACAATTACGTTATAAAACGTTATGATCGTAACTTTCGAGAAAATTCTAGATTAGCGTGTGGTTATAGTTATGTTTACGGGAAGTAAAATTAACCGCAGGTGAAAAGTGAGAGGATAATGCACGTTTTGAAGGTTTAATTTAATACGTAAGAATATTTTTTTATACCACGGAATGTATCTTCCCTCATTGGTCTTGCTTTCATCTTATCCTTTTATTATTTTTTTTACCTTGTTTAAAAATGACTAGCTGTTCCCGTGCGGCTTTATCCGTATGAAATTACGAAAACTTTATTTTATTGTTTACATTTGTCAAATTATCAATTGCAAATGTCAAAATACCAATTACTTTACTATGGCAATCTTGCTTCCTTGATGTTGGCAGCAACTTATGGTCTCTTTCCCACATTAGGGTTTTCATCCAACATATTTACCCCCTAAGTTTAATAGTGTGAAAATGTATAGCCTATAGCGTGACGTAAGTTTAGGGCCTTTTATAAAAAAAAATAATTCAAAAACACGCTGTAATTGCTGACATCTTAGGCAACAAAGAAGTGTGTGTTTACGCTTTATTATAATAGTATAGATTTATCTAAAAAAAGTATAAGCTTGTTAACTAAGATAGACTTGAAAATTACTACAAGTTAATAAAATCTACTTCCGTCGATAAGAAAGTGTGTCAAAGCTGACAGTGAGGAAGCAAATTCACTTTCATCCAGAAAACGAAAGTATGCGCGGGGATACAATGCAACTTACGTCAACAGCAAAGCTTTCCGTCCCTTTCTATCTTATACGTCGATTATATGACTAAGAAAGAGAAGAACCACGTGACCTCTCTTTACTCGCCCTTTTATGGTATGAATTTAGTACTATGGTACAGAGATGATGCTGATCTTGGTTGTAAATATTTTTTACTAGTTTTCGCCCGCGACTTCGTCCGCGTGGAATTAAAATAAACAAAAGTGAGCAGCCTATGTGTAGTTCTACGTCTATGCTAAAATTCACTAAACCGTTCAGCAGTTTAGGCTACAAACTGTAACAAACATCCATCCGTCTAAACTTTCGCATTAATAATATTAGTATGATAGTAAGATGAGGTCTAAACATAGTATGGTAAAAATGTCATATTAACAAACCTAACAGATGCGGTCAGCAGCTATCAGTCTTGCATTTAGAAATAAGCTAAAGGCTTAGCTTATCCAGAAAGCCTTATAGTGTTGAGGATTTTTTTAGATAACCCTTTTCTTGTTAGTGTATCTGTAGAGATACATCAATTTTTTTTTCTAAGCACTTTGGGTCATCAAGATTAAGTGCTATGAATATTATTTTGATATTCGAAAAAATAAAATTCTGCCAAGTTAAGGGATAAAACTGTTTTAATATTTGCATATATTTAACTTATTTGACTTGTAACTTGTTAGTAAAGTTGTATTTGTAAATAGATTTGTCTTAACTTAAATATCAATAGCTTGAAAGGCAACATATGTATACTAATATTGTAAAGTGGAATGATTTGTATTTTTGTACGTATTAAAATAACTTAAAAACCGTTGGGCCGATTTCATAAATTTTTTCACCATGAAAGAGCTATGTAATCAGTGATGACGTAGGCTATATTTTTTTATGCGGGGTGAAGTCGCCAGCAATAGCTAGTAAAAATACATTACTATCTCATTGAGTAGGTTATCGGTCTTATTCACTATATGTTGTAAAATACAGTGTGTAACATACATACAAAATCACTCAGTTGTCTACAAGTACTTCCCTAATGAATCACATAGTTGTGACACACGTTACGCTTCTCGATTGCGTCTAGTTTAAAAAGTTAATAAAACTGTAGGATTCCACTGTTATCGATGATGTCGTTTAGTAATTGGTATTTGGTGAGCCGGTTTAGGAGAATTAGGGCCTGTCCCACCAAATTGTAAATTATCTGATAGCAGCCAACGTGAAATATGTGATGGAAATATCGGAATTTGTTACCTTATCTAACAATGACGTTTTACGCTATCTGAACATCTATTAGCCAGTGGTGGGACAGGCCCTTATGTATTAAATTAGCTACTATATATACATGCGTATACTTCCTGCTTACATCGTTATTTTGATTCTAGAAACTCCTATATTACATGTCAGTGAAGATTACAGCCAGAAAGATTGAATCCACTTTCTCATCTAAAACAAAAGTGCTTCACGATAATTTTTCATTAACCGTAATTTTACAAATAAAATAGGCGCGCGTTCATCGATTTTTCTTATCGATAGTGGTGCAATCGAGTCGAATTTTACTCGATTATGTAAGAGGTGTACGTGATTCGCTACGCACTGCTGCCCCCGATGTGAAACTATTCCTTGACTCCAGGTGTACGAGTGTGAGGGGAATTTTAATGGAGAGTAAAGGCGCATCAAAAATTGTACGATACATGAGAATAATACATCCTTTATGAGATTGAGAGATGTAACCATTTTCATCACAATCGGTTCCGTGTACTATTAATTAGTTTGTTCCGTTAATGCGCAGTCTATAAACTTTACATTTGGGAAACATGGTTTTATGTCTTTTGAAGTCGAAAAATTTTTAGCTTTCATAATAGCAAAAAGATTCTTTTTCCAATCTATACTGATATAACAAAACGTAAACACACACTACTTCGTGGAGTAGGATGTCAGAAATCACAACGTATTTTTGAAACATATTTGAGCAAAAATTAAACTTAGGGGTAAAGAATTGGAAAAAAACTCTCATGTGGGAAAGGGACCATAAGGTATAAGCTGCCAAAGTTAAGGAACCAAGTTTATTATGGTAACGATAATTTTGACATTGCAAATTGAGAATTACACAATTGTAAACAATAAAGTTTTTATAATTTCATGCAGATGCAGCCGCAGGGGAACGGCTAGCCGTGTAATAAATCAGAATTGGAATAAACAGAATGTTTCACACATAAATGTTAGCTCAAAGAGCATCGAAAATTCTACACTGTGCTCATTATACTCTACTTAGTTTATCTCTTGTAAAGCATACTGTACAGATGCAGTGATATCAGAGTGTAGGCGGCGTTGCGTTTATATAACGCAAGGAAGTGCAGTCGACTGCATCTCGAACCTGTCCGTTGCATGCTGCAATTACTGATGTACTCGCGGTGTACCGATACTAGCCTATCTATGTAATGCTGTAAACTTACGTGCGATACATTGTGTAATACTAACAAAATACCTAAGTACTAATGTAATCTTATTAATATTATAAACTAGCTGTTACTCGCGATTTCAGCCGCATGAAATTAAAAAAAATAATAAAAAAATGACCTATGTTACTCGCAGATAAATTACCTTTTCAATGGTGAAAGAATTTTTCAAATCTGCCCAGTCGTTTTTAAGTGAATCGAATGCATGCAAAAATCCAAAAATACAAATCTTTCTCCTTTATAATGTTAGTAGAGACGTAATGCGATGTTGTTTGTAGCCTAAACTGCTGAACGGATCTCGATGAAATTTGGCATAGATGTAGCGGATAGTCTGGAAAAACATATAAGCTACTTGACACGAATGACAGTTGTGATGCGAATTAAATAACATGTCATGTCTCGAAAAGTTAAACCGTTCAGACACGAAGGACAGCTAAATCTAAAAACATTCGTAATTATAAATGTACCTCCAAAAAAAGTTTTTACCTTCCGCTTTGTGTTTTTTTACTTTTTTGCTCGTTAACTTATTGTACTAAATGTTAATAACTATTAACGAAAACAGTTTATGGTCCATTTATTATTGAACGTTTCCACGAATTATATTTTTGGCAAAACTAATTGATTTTATGCTTGTTGGTCCGCATCGGAGCATATCTCGATGTTATGAGTTATTACTTGTGTAGAGGAAAGCCTGTATAAAGATTGATAGTCTGATGACGTCACAGGATAAATCACAGTACTGCTCTGTAGATGACCAAACCCCCTCCCTAGCCTAAATCATTGATACAGAAGAACTACACTGATGTTGGGACTTCAATAAATGTATAAATTTAGTTTCTTCTATTTCAGACCTAATATTATATAGCCATCGTTCTCATCTTGTCTTAATTGTTTTTCTACTCGACGGTTTATAATGAAATGTATGACTTGAAAGAATAATTTTAAAAAAGCGCCATCTAGTGTGACATATCGAAATTTTTCTTCGCGATGACAAATAATCAAGTGTAGAAGAGTTTTAAAACTAGATGGCGTTGTATGTTCTAAATTTTAATTATATCATTTAAAATATTGATTTTCATAGTCTAGTGTCATAAAAGATATTAGATTTAAATGTAAAATAATTCGTATTTTCTAAATTTTACAATGAATTGATCAAAGGTTTAATAAAACTAGTTTTAAATAACAAAAATATATTCTTAGAGATTTTGTACAAATATTAAATTGTGTTACAGTATAACTTAAAAATATTCATCACTAGCGAATGTCTATAAGTCTAGTCATGTTAACTCTAAATGACTATACATCTTCGAATCGATTTTAGACACTAATTTTTAATATTTACATACTTAAATAAATTTGTTTACAATCAACAACTTACAAGTATTCAGAGATAAATAGTTCTTAACTTTGACTCACTTATTTCACACTTCAATTTGGTCATAACACGAGCCAGTCTTCTTTGATCATATCTGATGCCTTTTCACCTATCATAATCACGGGAGCGTTAGGGTTACCACTAATAATAGTTGGCATAATACTTGCGTCGACTACACGTAAATTGGCAACACCGTGGACTCTCAATCTGGGGTCAACTACTGCATCTCGATCGTGTGTAGGCCCCATCTTACATGTGCCCGTGGGATGGTAGATCGTAAATGTGAAATGTTTCAAACTACATTCCCAATATTCGTCGCTGAAGAGAGTAAGGTGCGAACACCCCGGCATCGGAATGGTGTGAGGTCGAGATCCATATTTCTGGAATGCTGTTGTATTAGAGAGTGCAAACGCTATCTTTATACCCTCAGTTAGAACTTGAATATCTTCCTTATAAGCGAAGTAATTGGGCTCTATCGATGGTGGATGGAAGGGATTTCTGCTTTTAAGTTTCACCCATCCCGAACTCTTAGGTCGCAATAATAAAGGCAGTATTGTCCAAGTCTCCGCGTTTTCTATAGGTTTGTACACAGTGTTATAAACCCTATCACGTAAATTTAAGATTTTTCTGATCTGTTCACCGCCATCTGAGTTCACTGAACTCGGGGCGAAATGAAATTGTATATCAGGCCAGTTGCCCGACGGTGGGGCGTACTTAGTATTTACGAAAGCAAGCCCCTCCACGCCTTGTGTCGTCATAGGTCCTTTTTCGTATAATATGTAGTTCATTGCAACCGCGAACGTTTGGAAGCGGTCCTTTTTGAAAGTGACCGGTTTGTTGACGACGAATGTTAAACCACCCAAACCTACGTGATCTTGCAAATTATGACCGACTTTTAGATTAGCGATCAGCGGTATTCCGTGCTCTCGCAAATGATCTGCAGGCCCGATGCCGCTTAGCATCAGAAGCTTAGGTGTTGCCAACGCACCAGCGGACATTATCACCTCTCTCTTTATGCGCACCTTTTGTCGTTCACCATTTCTAATGAATTCGACGCCGTAAGCTTGCTTCTTAGCGGGATTAATTAAAATCCTTGTTACCTGCGCTCCCAGAGCGATGTGCAGATTAGTCCGTTGACGGACCGGTCGGAGAAATGCTTTAGCCGTGCTACATCGGCTTCCACGGCGCATGGTCGCTTGGGTCAACATGAAACCGGTTTGTTTCGCACCGTTTATGTCACGATATTCGTAGCCTAGTTCCATACCGCCTTTGAGAAAAGTTACCGATAGAGGCGTGCGCCACGGAGCTTCTTGAACTGTCAGGTAACCACCGGTGGAATGGTAGGGTGTTTCAGCGAGATATGGGTTTCGATTGTCTTCTGATTTTAAGAAGTATGGAAGAACTTGATCGTACGACCAACCGGGATTACCCAGCGCTTCCCATAAATCGTAGTCGTTGCGATTTCCTCTGACGTATACCATGGCATTTAGGACGCTACAGCCGCCGAGGACTTTGCCACGCGGCCAGTTGCAGCGGTCCCCATTCATGGCGAGACAGTAGGAGCGGTTATTTGAAGGCGTCGTCTGAAACTTCCAGTCCATATCGGAGAGTTGCGTGTATCCGGCCAGCGCGGGGATGTCGGAGATTTCGCTCTCATCCTGTCCAGCTTCCAGTAGTAATACAGTCCAGTTGCCGATCTCCGACAGGCGCGAGGCAACAACCGCGCCCGCCGACCCGCCGCCCACTATCACAAAGTCGTAAATCGGCATTATCTGAAATCAAACGTTATTTGATAAGTAAGCTTTTTGTAAATTACGAATTACGAAACACGTATCTTTGTAAGTTTATCGTGATTATTTTATCTTCGCCAAAAGCCTACACGACCGGGTTAGAGATTACGGTTTTTGAAACTTTCTACTCAGCGTTGACGTTTATATCTGAGATACAAATAAAGAAAAGAAAAAGGACGTTTTATTTCTTATTATAAAATGTAAGTCCCTTTCTTGCTCAGACACACAATTCTACACTCAAATTTGAATAACATAATTGAAACGTAGCACTTTAGGACGACCAGACTAGAGTGACTTTATTGTCCCATGGTTAATTTTAAGTAATGAATGTACTTACAGCATTGATGTCCGTGATATATGACTCCGGATCGTATTGCTGGTATCTGAAGTACGTGATCCCAAGCGCCAGGAGTGGTATCAGACCCAGCACGGTGATTGGCGACGGCGCCAAGCTCGCGAGCGCTCCGGCCGCCTCCATCCTCACCTTCCAAAATCATCTACTAACTAACTATATACAACTTATGCTACACTCCAACTAAATCCAGCCCTCTATCTTCAATCTCTGCTCGTCTTCAGATAGGATCTTAGGCGTGTAATTCCTTATTCCGGCTTTCTTTGGCGTCGGCCCGGCTTTAAGTTTAGCTTTCTCTGTGTCACTAAGGTAGCCTTTTAGGCGAGCACTTTTTATTTCGTTGTCGTTGACCTCGAACAATTGCACCTGAAAAAAATATTAACATTATGTTCTTTAACATTAAACGTAATCATTTTCAATTATTTCGCCTGCGTGAAATTATTTTACTCTACTACTACAAAATGAGGTTACTTACAGATAAATTACCTTTCTGACGGTGAAAGAATTTTTAAAATCGGTCCAGTAGTTTTTGAGTTATTTCAATACATACAAAAAGCCAAAAATACAAATCTTTCTTCTTTATAATATTAGTATAGACAGGGAATTTACAGTACTGGTAAGTTTAATTTTAAATCTCATTTGTCAATTACAAGTGCTGCTTTTAATTAAATTCTCTTACCTTGTAGCGTTTTTCTTTAGGTATTTTGACTGGTTTATACAGTTCTTTGTTGACGTCTTTGTAATGATCGTTCTTGTACAAGGACGTACAATAATAATTGCTTTTAGAAGACCTATCAGATCTGAAATCGTAAGCACTTGAACCGCTTCTATATCCGCTGCTTTCGTTTGAAGAATCACTGTTGCTGTCGGGACTTCGTCTAGATTTGTGTCTGTATTGCTCGTTGGCGCGGTAGTCGGATTTGTATCGAATTGGATCGTCTACCTTGTCGGTGTATCGTCTCACTTGAGCGCCGCGGTGAGCGACGTGGGATTGCTCCTGTCCCATGTTGAGGTGCTTGGCATACACCTGCGGAACGGTGTTTTGTGTCTGGAATAATAGAAATTTCGAAATTAAAAAAAATAACTCTTTGATGGAAGGTTCAATCATTATACATACTTTACGCATAACTGAGTCATATAAATGAATTTAAAAAAAACAACTGATCTTCGCTTCGCAGAAAATTCCGCTTCAAAAAAAAATTACAGATTTCATGTAAAATGTAGTCATTTTGATTAGTGTTAAGTATGAAGCCTTGTTAATTACATGGCGTCGTCATTTTGAAAGAATTCCAATTTTTATTTAAATCTAAGTCTAAGTAGGCACTAGGCATGCATTTTAATTCTATGCACATGTTATGGTCGATAGTTGCAGAATCAGTAATTAAAATATACAAGTACCATTAGTAGGCATGTTGTACACAGTTGTGGAACCACAGTCTTCATCTCTATATATAAAAACATATTGGTTTGTTTGAATTAAAAATAGGCCAAAAACAGCGTCAGCTAATTCGACATACAAATCTGCGATAGTTGATTTGTATGCGAGCGGAGTTGAATCACAAGGAATCATATCCCGAGTCATCACTCGCTGTTCAGTCGAGTCAGTTAAGACCCTCCTGATGGCAACGAGTATTTCAGTTCAGGAAAGTGTAGTACTCGGAGCGGTGGACAAACTATAGTGTGAATTTTAATCGCGCAGCGCCATCTATCCGCAAGTGGCGGTATTTGTGTACTGCGACGGTCAATGACCTTGGCCTTGCTTACCGTTATTAGTTACAGATAAGTTGTTATCCATTCATTGGAAATGTGTATGTAAACAGCTGTTTAGTTCTTTTGTACGAGTATTTATTCTGCTTTTAAATCTGCTTTTTGTTCTGGAATACAAGTGTTAGAAAAATTTATAAATGCAAATAAACACCCATATGTGTATGCTCCTACGTAGACTATAGTAAGTAACAATTTTGCAATTTACACCTTGTTTATTTTTTAATTAACCTGATAAAGGCTAATTTATTGGATTTTGAAGGTCACGATAGAAAGAAGTGATTTTTTTTATTGTATTATCTATCTATGATTATTATAAAGAGGAAAGATAAGTATTTTTGTATGTTTTGAAATAACTCAAAAAATACTGGGCCGATTTAAAAAATTCTTACACTGTTAAAAGGCAAAGCTATCAGTGGCTAAGTCTATATTTTCTATGTTTTTTAATTACGCGCGGGCGGAGTCGCGAGCTGTTGCTAGTATTCTTTATAGTTTATTCAACAATGTAGTTAAAAACTGAGGAAATCAGAATCCTCGAAGGTTCATTGAACAGTCCCTTAGTGTAGTTGTCTCTTAGTGGCAAAATAAAGATTGAATACGGAAAGAATGAAAGCTTTCTGGGTTATTACTTATACCAACATTGCACCGGAGAAAGGTCGAAGAAATGATGCGAATTGTCCGCTAATTTTGTTGTAACTTTCACTTTCTTTTCTAAATATCTCAATGATTGCATATTCTTTTTTTAAATAATGTTATTACAGTAGTTAAGTAATGTAATTTTTGCAAAGGCGTTATCAGGGTAGATGGGGGGAAGCTGCTCCCCGTAGAACAGGGGTGGCGAACATATATCCATCAAAGTTTTTTAAAGAAATGTTTAATGCGGTCTTAGACGTGCTTTCTATTTTTAACTGATTATTAAGTCATTTCCACGATGCATGTAATAAGATCGCGTTCGCTACGTAATACTTCATACTTTTTCGTAGTGTTTTTATGATCCTCGACGTGTCAAAAAAATTTCGTGTGCTATTTATGGCACGCATGCCAGATGTTCTCCACCCCTGGCCTAGAGTATCAAAAGATGTAAATTAGATACAAAATTACTTCTAATAAGATTACGTCGCCCGTATTCGATTTAGAGATTACAAGGTCTACGAAGGATCTAAGGCCCAGGTGTGTAAATTAACTTGTAGAAGAGGTAATCACACAAAGCATTGAAGCATTGAACACAACGCGTAACTAATTGTATAACGCGCCGCGAAGCCGTTACGAATACCACTGCTTTCTCACAATACATTAAGAACACAAGTAAACATTCAAACAATGTCTATATTAGCAAACACCATATTTAAAAGCAGGCGCACATCTTTGACGATTGTCAATTGTTTCGCAGCCAATTCAACTGTTTATTTGCACAATAATAACGTACTAAAAATCGAATAGTGTGCGCTCCATATAAACTTTTGTGTTATTATATAAACAGTTGTGCGATAGTTTAGTTTCAGATGTGCGCACGCTCGTATTACTTACTATCTGTCACCCGTGAAGTCGTCCACGCAATAAAAAGTAGCCTATATTATGCCCGTCTATGTCAGCTACCCTTTAATGAAAGTCCGGTCGATATCGGCCCAACCGTTTCGGAGATTACCCGGAACAAACGCGGCTTACGGACAGACAGACAGACAAAAAAAATGCTGTTTTCGTTATCAGCAACGCAAATACATCATCTTCCCGGAATCTGGATTTTTTTTTGATCTTACAAACAAACAGAAACAAAATATATTATTTATAACACGGCTAAAACTCACGTGGAAACTTTCGGTGTTGGCACCGACCAGTTTCAAACCCGTAGGGGTCCTTCTTCAGGGTGAGTGGATGCCGTCTTTATTCGCTATCGCGTCGCGACGGTCCTACGGTCCTACGGGTTTGAAACTGGTCGGTGCCTACACCGAAAGTTCCCACGTGAGTTTTAGCCGTGTTATAAATAATATAGTATAATGTCTCACGAAAGTTTTAATAAGTTAAGAAACAAAACAATTGAATTAATTATTTTAAAACTGATATTTCATACTCTGTTATCGTTGCTAACTCTATTAGGCCTTTCGGTGGACAATGCTCCAGCTTTGCTAAAGTGAAGTTAGTCTGTCGATCACGAGATCTTGGCCTATTATAACACGTGTATAATGATTATATGACAAAAATACAGCAAGAATTTAATTGATTTTAGTACAAAGAAAGGCCAAAATATATCATCGTCTTTTACGACTTTTTACATTCCCGTTAATTGGTTTATCGACTTTGTTTCATCACTTTCCGTTACATTACAAAACGTTTCACTTGTGTAAGTATTCGCAAGTTGTTGTTAATAATGTTAAGTTATGATATAACTTGGAGTTTTTTTAGAAATGCACTAAGTGAACTACACGAGCAATACTGTTTTGTAACTTTAAAAGGCATTCTCCCCATTTCTCAATCTTTTATTTATTAATTTTTTAGACATATGTCGAATATTAAAACTCCAAACTCAATATCTTATCAAATCTCATTTCGATTATGTACCTGGTTTAAAACCAGTTTTAGATTTTATCGAAATATCTTATTATGGCATTATGTGGATGGCTAAAAAGGTAGAGGAAGACTGAAGAAAGTATGGATGGATTATGTGGAAGAGGATATGCTTAAGGCAATAAATTCTGATATAACGGCTGATAGAGATGTATGGAAGAGTTCATACTGTGCCGACCCTCCGTAAGGGAGTGCTGATGATATTAATATGCAGGTAAATTTCTTTGCTCTTTTAATTATACCAGAAGTATTCAAATAAGGAAATTCCCGACTATGATGTAATCTTTAACCGCATTAAAGTTTTTTTTTAATTTCACCCGTAGTTCTTTCTTGTTTCGAAAGAAAAGCTTTTAAAACCATCATGTTATTGACCAGTTATTATACGGTATTGACCCTTGTAATAAATTGCGGTAAAACAAAGTATCCGAGACCGCGGGAATCACGCGAACCAACGACCCGTAAGTAATTATTATTCATCAATTTTAGTTAAATATACTAATGGCCGAATGCTGAAACGACATTTTAATATGATAGCCACTCTTAAAATCAATAACAATCTTGACTTCTGTTAGTGTAAGCGGTGAGCGACGTGTTTTAGATTCGTTTCAATATTCCGCCGTGTGTGCTTGTAACCCCCTTATTCTATTAGTTGATACTATGACTACTTTGAGGTGTTTATACTATAAAGTATAGATAACAAGTTTATTTACAAATCTATGTACTTGTTTATATTTTTAAAACCCGAATTTTTTTATTTTGTTTTTTTTATGTAATTGGTTAATTTGTCGTCTATAAAAAATTTGTGTAGTTTTAACGATATGTTAAATCTTTTTTTATTTAGACATCGCAAATGTCAGCTTTTAGGTTAATGGTGTTGAGAAACGGTCCCAAAAACACTACCAAGATAACCGGTCACTTGTGTGCTCACAAACCAGTTACTTCATGACGACTCTTTAATTTTGCAACGTTATATCGCAATTCGTATCTGATAATAGACGTACATTTTTAGACAGGGATACAGCATAATAAATGTTTCAACTATTATCTTGCCTTGTAACATTTTTACGCAGTCAAAGAATTAAATTTGCAACCCACGCAAATGAAATAAAAACACAGCAGATGGGTTTTCATCCATTTTTATTGTATTATGATTGAATTATTGTAATTCAAAATGCCAGTACTTGTTTTATAAATAGGAATGATTTTTATTTTTGCATTTTTTGTATATATTGAAATAACTCAAAAACTAATGGGCCGATTTCAAAAATTGTTTCACCAATAAAAAGTTACGTTATCAGTGAGTAACATATGACATTCAATACGACCTACTATCGTAGTTGAACCTGTGTTTACTCAAATATGGATGAACTACTCTTGTATGATTTAACCATGAACTTTCGTTAACAGATGTTAACTGGAAATAATTTTGACATTTTATTGACTTTTAAATTGGAATTTATTAAACCCGGGATCACAAAAATGTATTTTTTTTCCTTCTTTATGGTCCATTTCGAATATAATCATATTTCAGAACCGATAACTGATTACTTTTTATGGAATGTGGTTTAATTTCGAGAACTTTAGAGGATAAAGAGGACCTGCACTAAAGATGTCAAGGTTATT